AAGAAAGCCTTATATGAAAAGATTGTTATTCTTACTGTTGAACTAACTGAGGCTAAAGTCAGCATTGATAAGTTGAATGCAAGATCACTCAAGCTTGATGAAGTCCTTTGTCAAGGAAAATCCTTCGGAGATCGATATGGTTTGGGCTTTAGTCTTAGTGCTAGCATGTCGAAAGCGGGTGCAAACACGTTTGTGAAGGCCACTGAAACTCTTGCTAAAGAACTGTTGTGAGATAGGCTATGAAGGTATCAAAATTCATTCTTATTTGCCATTTTTGTAACAAGAAAGGTCACATCAGACCCAAATGCATTAGATTTATTTCTTATTTGAAGAAAGTTCTTAAAAACCATAGTTTTCTTGCTAATGTAAATCATAATGTTAACAATTGTTTTTCTTCCAAAAGAATTTGGAAACCTAAGGCTAATGTGAATTGTTTAGTGTCTCATACCTCTTTTCTTGCATTTCAAAATGATCTTTGTTATCTAGGCAATGGTTGTTCAAGGCATATGACAGATAATACATCTCTCTTAACTAAACTTGAATCGGTTGATAGTGGGCATGTCACTTATCGAGATGGAAAAAAAGGCAAAATACTTGGTAAAGGGACAATTGTGCTTTCTGATTTTCTTATTTTAAAAGATGTCTTACTTGTTGATGGTTTGAAAGCTAATTTGATTGGTATTAGTCAAATTTGTGACAAAAATTTTGTGGTCCAATTCTCAAAGGACAAGTGTCAAATTTTGAATGGTAAAGGTGTTTCTTTACTTGAGGGAAAAAGATCAATTGATAATTGTTGCTTTTTAACCGTGTGTCATGTTTCAGTTCAAAAACAAATTCCACAAACTTGTGGCATGAGAAACTTGGTCACATGAACTTCAAAGACTTGGTAAGACTTTCAAAAAAGGATGTGGTTAAAGGACTACCAAATCTTGAACCTCCAAAAGGTAATGTGTGTGGCTCATGTCAACAAGGTATGCAAACTAGAATATCTTATAAAGCTTTATCTAATCTCAATATCTCAAGTGTTTTGGAATTGCTTCATATGGATCTAATGGGTCCTATACAAACCGAGAGTTTGGGAGGTAAGAGATATGTGTTTATTTGTGTTGATGATTTTTCAAGGCATGCTTAGGTTGATTTCATGCGTGAAAATCTGATTCTTTCGATGCATTTCAAAAATTAGCTAAAAGGTTGCTTGTTGAGAAAGTTCAAAATCTACAAAGATTGTGAGAATTAGGAGTGATCATGGTAAGGAATTTGAGAATGTTGATTTTGCTAATATTTGTGATTTTTAAGGCATATTCCATGAATTCTCAGCACCAAAAACACCTAAAAAAAATGGTATTGTGGAAAGGAAAAATAGAGTGCTTCAAGAGATGACTAGGGTGATGCTTAATGCCAAAGAGCTTCCTACAAGACTTTGGGCCGAAGCTATCAACACAACTTGTCACATTTCCAATAGAGTTTATCTTAGAAAAGGTACCCTTCAAACTCCTTATGAACTATGGAAAGATAATAAACCTGATCTCTCTTACTTTCATGTGTTTGGATGCAAATGCTACATCTTGAATGATGGAAAGAATTTAGGTAAGTTTGATTCTAGGAGTGATGAAGGAGTTTTTATTGGATATTCTTCCAATAGCCATGCTTTCAGGATCTATAACATACGTTCTGAAAAATTTTTAGAATCCATTAATGTCGTGTTTAATGATGCACAAGATTTTTCAGAATATTCACAAGAATGTAAAATTCAAGATATGTCTGCTCCTCGTGTGCCCACACAAGATGGTGTGAACACTACTGAATCACCTAAACCTAAGCCTTCATCAAATGTGTTGTCACCCACTTCCAATGCTATAGCAACTGGATCTGCTCCATGGAAAAATTCATCCTCAGATTCATCTTTGCAAAATGAAGAGATTGAGTTGGTTGTTGATTTCTCTAATGAAAGTATTCAAAGAAGAAACCAAAGAAAAAAATATCCACCAACATGGGTTCAAAAAGCTCATCCACATTTAACCATGATTGGAGATCCAAATGAGGTAATGGTTACAAGAAGAAGAAGACAAAATAAAATTAACCATCTTTGTTATGCGTCTCTTGCAGAACCGAAGAATGCCAAGCAAGCATTAGAAGATGAAAATTGGATTGAGGCCATACATGAAGAATTAAAACAATTTGAAAGGAATGATGTATGGACGCTTGTGCCGAGACCTGAGGAATCAACATAATAGGTACCAAATGGATTTTTAAAAATAAAACTGATGAATTTAGTAATGTTGTTAGGAACAAAGCAAGGCTTGTTGCACAAAGGTATACTTAAGTGGAGGGAATCAATTTTGATGAAACCTTTGCCCCTATTGCCCGACTTGAGTCAATCTGCTTGCTGCTTGCTGCTGCCTATGTCTCAAGATAAAATTGTTCCAAATGGATGTCAAAAGCGTTCTTGAATGGGATACTCTCCGAAGAAGTGTATGTTGAACAACCGATTGGCTTTTAAGACCCCCGCAAGCGCAATCATGTGTTTAGATTGAAGAAAGATCTTTATAGGTTGAAACAAGCCCCACGGGCCTGGTATGAAAGGTTGACAACTTTCCTTCTTGAGCATAGCTATGAATGAGGTAATGCCAACAAAACCCTCTTTATCAAGTATGCTAACAATGAAATCTTGTGCCCACAGATTTATGTTGATGATATTGTGTTTGGTTCTACATCTCATTCACATGCACTTGAATTCATTAGTTTGATGAAAAATGAGTTTGAGATGAGTATGGTTGGGGAGTTAAATATGTTTCTTGGTCTTCAAATTAAACAAATGGAAAATGGCATGTTTGTTTCCCAATCAAAATATATTGGAAACATGTTGAAAAGATTTTGTCTAGATAATGCAAAGCATGCTAGAACCCCTATGAGTGCTACCCTTAAACTGTCCAATGATGAACATGGTAACAAGGTTGACAATAAGATGTACCGAAGCATGATAGGAAACCTTCTTTACTTAACTGCAAGCCGGCCTGATATTTGTTTTAGTGTTGGTGTTTGTGCTAGGTTTCAAGCTAACCCTTTTGAGTTGCACCTGAATGCAGTGAAAACATTCATGAAATATGTTTCAGGTACGTGTGACTCATTTGATTCTAATAATTGTTTGATTGGATATAGTGATGCAAATTGGGCAGAAAGTTTGGATGATTGAAAGAGCACTTCGGGTGGATGTTTCTACCTTGGAAACAATCTTGTCACCTGGTATAGCAAAAAGCAAAATGCAATCTCCCTCTCCACTGTCGAGGCTAAGTATATTGCCGTAGGGAGTTGTTGCACTCAAATTTTATGGTTAAAGTAAATGTTGTATGATTATGGTGTTGATCTAGATTGTGTGACAATATTTTGTGATAACACAAGTGCCATTAACATCTTTAAGAATCTAGTCCAACATTCTAGGACTAAGCACATTGACATAAGACATCACCTCATTAGAGAGTTAGTTGAGGAGAACATCATCGCATTTGCTCATATGAACACAAAATCCCAATTGGCAGATTTATTTATAAAAGCACTTGACTATGACATTTTTGTTTCCTTGAGGAAGTCCATTGAACTACTTTAACTTCAATAGTTTTTTATTCCTATTGATGAATAAAGCATGAACATGCTACTTTTATTTTTTGTTTGTCAAGTTCTTTGATCTGCGCTAGCACTCTAATTGTCATTCGTTTTCTCTTATCTATGTGCTAACTCTAGTTTGTTGTGTCCACTGAGACTCTCTCTATAGCATGACCTTATCTCATCATTAGTTGTTTGTCCATTCTTGTCACAATTATGAAAGAGCTACCTTGCCTGAAGAGTGAAAGTTATTTTGAGTAATTTTCCCCTTATATTTTGGAAAATCTACCATTAAGAGGACTACCTTCTTGCAAGTGTGAAACCTACATTTTGGTTATACTTTTGAGAGTTATTTGCCCTTTGTTCAAAATGAAAAGAAAAATCAATAATTTATTATCTTCTGAAAAAGAAAAATGAAAAATATTGTAGGGCATGGGGGAATGTTGATTTTCTCTTGCAAAAAATTAATTGTCCAATGTGTCATTTAATCTCCCCTGAGGACACTATCACACACTTAGACAAGCTTGTGTGACTTTATTTCTCTTGTGTGTGATTGAGGAAGTGTTGTTTTGATTGCATTTTGTTGACAACTTCCTTATGAGAAATTGTGCCTTTTAAGATTGAAAATTTGATCTATTAGGATGCTTTGCACAGATTGACTATCTTGACCTTCAAAAATTCATGTGAAACATTTCATTATTTTAATTTTTTTTTTTATGCTTTTAAAATTGTTCAATAAAGTCTAGTCTTTTGAAAATTTCAAATATTCTTTTGGGATGTTGAGTGCTCACATGATTGCCTATGTACACTCACTTAAGATAAAGTTCTATTTTTGGTACAACTCTCTTTAGGGCTTTAGAATCACCGCCTGCCATAAATGCTTGCCCTAATCTCTTTTGCGTCAGTCTTCATTTTCTAAAACCCTATTGCGTTGCCTTTTGTTCTTCATCTCTCACAATTTTTTTTCTCTCAAATCTTCACTAATTTTTTTTTAATTGTCTCTCATGGATTCAAGGAAGAAAGCAATTGAAAACCCGAAGAGAAAGACCATGGAGGAATCACTCAAAAAGGGTTTCCAAGCCTTGAAAGAATCTAACCGGCACAAGAAAAAGCCAACGAAAGAGCAAACCCCATCGGAGTCTGATTCTGCCACTCCAAAAAAAATCTTACGAGGGAGAAACTAGCTGCTCATCCTCAGTTGTCTCTTCCCCTGTTTCCAGTGATCATCAGGACTCTGTGCGCTCACAAGATGAATAGCCCCTGCCTCAACTGAAAAGTCACAAGAAAAATCCTTTTCGGCGTCCAACAGTGCCTCAGACAACACTCCCATTGCCACTTTTAAATCTCGCAAGGCTACTCTTGTAAAAGCTGGTCTATCAAAGCCCCTAACTCCAGTAGAGATGGCGAAGAAGAAATGGAAGGCAATCATGGAAGAGACTCAACCTAGTCAAATTTCTCCTTTTATTTTGCTTGCCGCCAAAGTTAGATTTAAAAGCCACATTGTCAAAAAGACAATTGTGAGTGAGGAAAATGTTAGGTTAGATGATTTTGATGAGTTTCATGCCATGATGAAGAAACAAAAATGGATAAACATTGTCTCGGGTCTGACTGCACCCATTCAAACTCTTGTTCAAGAGTTTTACACCAATTTTGGCCTTGATGATGTTGAACCGAACTCTGATGTGCACAATGATAGAGTTTATGTTAGAGGTCATTGGGCTCTTTTCAATGAAGAGGTAGTTAGGGATGCGTTAGGTCTCAAAAAGGTTAAGAAAAATTTTGATTTGACTAGTTTGAAGCTAGACCAAATTGTTAAGGTTATAATTGGTGGTTCAATAGCTATATGGCCAAAAAGTGGAGTTCTTCAACCTAGTGCACTCACACCCTTTTACCGCCTATTGTTTGAAATTTCTCTTACAAATTGGTCTCCCTCAATGCACAATTCCACTGTTAGACCAGAAAGAGCACAACTACTTTATGGGATTGCACAAGGGAAGAAGATAAACTTAGCCACACTAATTTTCACAAGTGTTAAGGTGGATGCACAATCCACATATGCTCTCCAGATTTTGCCCTTTCATTCCTTCATTTATGAAATTATCTCCACTTGCAAACCCAAATTCTATGAAGTGGAGCCTGTGTTGAAGATAAAGATTGTCACCAAGAAGTCTTTTCGACAACCATTAGGTAACATTCCTTCCACCTCCTCGGGTGAACACATTAGGACTAACACTTGGCAGTCCAAGCTTTTTGTTGCTATGCAAGACCTAGAGAATGTTCTCCAACATGTGAAGGAGATTCATCTTTCCTTCAGTGCTTGGATGGACAAAATAGAGCCTAAAATGAAGAAGACTCTTGATTCCCTTGTTCAGAATGAACCTGCTACTGATCAAAATGAGGTTCATCTATTTCCCCTGCTGTCCCTTCTATTCTTGCAGTTTCTACTGAAGATCCTGCTGCTGTCATTCAAGAAGAAGAAGCTGCTCATGAAGATGAAGATCAACTTGAAGATGCACTTGATCAAGAAAAGGTATAGCACTCTGAAGAAGAGGATGCTTCTCATGTACGTACTAAAGATGTCCCTCTTCCTCCTGTCAAAGAGAAAACCCCTCTAGTCCAAGATGAATCCTCTCATGAAACTGCTGACACCTCTTCAGCCGCTGTTCCAAATGTTCAAGTGGAGGACTCTCATTTCACCATCACTACTCCTTCCAAGAAAAGAGTCAAGAGGAAAGCTAATTGCACATTGATACCCTCTCAAAAGTCTTCAAGACTTATGAACAAAAAGGGGGAGTAAGCATTATGGCGGAGTGAAATTAAATTTTTTTTTTTCTGTTTTGTTTATTGCTAAACTGTGAACTGTTTTGCTGTTATCTCCCTATGGGGGACTTTGTTTTTTTATTTTTTTGCTGCTATTTTGTTATGTTTCTGCATAACTTTTTAGTTATTTTGATCTGTTGGTTTATTTGCTAACCTTGTATTCAATTTTGTGTTACTTTTGTTTATGTTTCTTTGTATGTTTGTTTCTTGCAAATTTGCAGGTTTGATTGGTTGATTGAAACAGGTTTGTTCTTGATCATTTTTTGTTTATGTTCTTTGTTTATAAGTTTGACAAAGGGGGAGAATGTGAAATATTTATATTTGTCAAACTTATGAGTTGTGTGTGCACAACAGTTCTGTGTGCACACTAGTTGCCAATCTTATGATTTGGCTTGTTTCTTATGAGTTGTGTGTGCACAACAGTTTTGTGTGCACACTAGTTGCCAATCTTATGATTTGACTTGTTTCTTATGAGTTGTGTGTGCACAACAGTTCTGTGTGCACACTAGTTGCCATTCTTACGATTTGGCTTGTTTCTTTTGAGTTATGTGTGCACACTAGTTGCCAAACTTGTGTCTTGGCTTGTTTCGTTTCGAGTGTGCATGCACAACAGTTTGTACTTACACTCTCGCTTCAATTACTTGCAACCCAGCACGAGTTGCATGTTTGATAAAATGAAAAAAGATATTGTTTATCTTTGTCTCTAACTTTTTATGACCTTTTACATGTGTCATATTATCTTTAAGTGGTCCTAGGGAATAAAGTTTCTTTTCTTGATTTGTTTTGTGGTCCAAACCAAAAGAAGGAATATTTTCCTTATTTGGACAAACATGGGTCAGCCCTTTGTTGGCTGATGTGGCATTAATGTGTTGAGCAAGAAACCCTACACTACATATCATATCATCTTGCATCTTTGAAACTAAGATTTTGATCTTTTATTTTATTGTACTCTGAAATTTCTTAGAGTATTCTTTCTCTTAAGGTTCATAGGTTCATTTCCATTTTGTGCCAAAACCTCACCATATCATTCATTGACTTGATGGCTCTTGGAATGTGGTTCCTTTGTTGATACTGGAGTGTGGCGTTAGTGCCTGAAGCTTGGTGGTTCACAAGCTGTTCTCTGGTGTGTTCCCAGCGTGAAGAAGGTCCAAGGAGTTGCTACACGTTAAGAATTCAGAGTGTGGTGCTAAGTGTAAAGTTGAACAGAGAGTTCTTTTACTGTATCTTAGATCAACTTTGAACTATATCTTGTAATGCATTTTTAACTTAGTGGATTGCTTCAATCTGGACAAGGTCCCATGGACATAGGCTAAAAGTGGATTTTAGCTATATGGCTATGTTCTTTACTTTTTGCACTTATGTTTGATGTGGTTTAATTGGAAATCTCTTAATCAACTTGGTAATATTTTCGCTGCATTTAAAATGGGTAACCATACACTAAAGTGAGTTAACCAACAACTTACTCCCAACACTTATTTCTAGTTTATGAACTTCTACATGCTTGATTCACTTTATTATGCTTTGATACATGAATTATGTGAAACAGTTATGGCTCGTTTAATAGTCAGGTAGAAGATGCAATTGGTTGTCCTTTTAGTCTTCCATTTGGACATGATGGAAACCATGTACACCATGCTCATCCTTGTTGGGTTGGCTAATGTACTTAATTTACGGGGTAGAAGTAGGGCTGCTATATCATATGCTAGTGAGTCTATGACTAGGTTTATGGTTAGGTCACCTAATTTACATACCATGCTTTTCCAAAGCGATGAGCTTTGTTTCGAGAGTTGTATGATGAGTAGGGCTCTATTTCAAAAATTATGTAACTTACTAACTACACAGGACAAGTTACAATGTAACACCCACATCAAGGTACGTAGTTTTATTTATGCCCTAATATCCTTAGTTGAATTTTGTTAAAGTTATCTTGGACAAGTGTTAAGGAAATTCCTTGAACCTTCATTAGGGGTAAAATGGTCTTTTCACTCATAATTAGTTGAAAAAGTGGGTAGTGAAAAGAAGTAGAATAACATGGAGAAGTTAATAAAAATGAGGGCATTTTTGTAATTGACTAAGGGACATAGATGGAATTTTTAGAAAGTACAAGGGTAAAATGGGAAACTAATATATATATTATGTAGTAAAAGTTCAAGAAGAGAAACCATAGCCACTCTACCCATAGTTCACGCCACCTTTACCCTAAATGCTCTCAAATTTCTTCACTCAATTTTCAAGAAATTCATAGGATTTTAGTTCAATTTTGATAGATTTTCAATCCTAAGCATCCAAAGGTAACATTTTGCACCAAGATGTGAGAATAAATTTTAAAGTTTTGAATTCTTATGGTTTTATATGCTTAGGGTTTAAGAGGAAAGGGAATTCTACCAAAGAGAGATTATAGTGTTAGAGTTGCTCAAATTCAAGGTAAGTAAATCAAACTTTAGCTTTGATTGGATAAATACTTGTCTAGATAAATTTTTATATGTTGTATGTGTGTTTAGATGATGAGAATTATGGATTGAAAATTTGTAACACCCCACTTGAGGTACGTAGTTAAGATTTGATGAATGGCTTGAATGTTTGTTGATTTATCCTCATTTGAGTCTATATGTTGTTAATATTGTTTGGTTTATCATTGGTTGAAAAGGTGTCTTGGTTGGTTGAGTGATTGCCCTGAAAATTGTAAGACTTGGCGAAATATTGAGGTTATAGTCTTCGCCAGGGCGAAGAAGAATCTTCGCCGCGGCGATGAGGAGGTGCTACAACCCCGTGTAGCTGCTGTGATCTTTCGCCGGGGCAAAGAAAATAGCTTCGCCGCGGTGAAGACTCAGCTGAATGTTCCCCTTGAGTTTTTGAGAATTCTTCCTTTTGAGACTCAATGACCATTCTACCCCTTTTTAGTAGGAAATTTGGGGAGTGAACTGTAAGAAAATTGCATGGAGAATAGTGTGATTGGGGTTGTGTTTGCAAAGAATGAAAGGTCCTAGATGGAATTTCAAAGAAGATAAGGTATTTTGGAAGAGTGGAGAAAATATGAGATATTAAGGGTTGCTTTCAAACCTTTCATTTGCTTCACCAGCTCTTTCCCTTATTTCTCTCAATTTCATTCAAGTTTCCAAGGATCTTGAAGAGTTTGACTAGAATTGTTACAAGTTGATCCTAAGCACTAAAAAGTGAGAACCCTTACTCTAGAAAGTAATTTTTATTGTTGAAGAGGAGGATCCTTATAAAGTTTTGTATTGAAGGTTTAAGAGAAAGTATCAAGCCATCAAGAGTAGAGAGATTAAGTGGTTTCTATTGTGTCCCGGTAAGTAAATTCACCTAAGTTGTGATTTACTTGATGAATGATTGTAGAGATTTTAGATATGTGCTTGATGCTTAAATTTCTATGTTTGAAATGAGTTGATGAATTCCAGTTTTATATGAAAGAATTTCCACCATGAGAAGGGTGGCTTGTGTTGTTAAAGTTGGGTAGAAGTGTGGATAGAATTAGAAGAATTTGAGAGAAATTTGAAGTATGTTTTCCCTTGCAGGTTGTATGATGTTTAAAGGAGTTGAACTCCTTTTGGATGATTAAGAAAGAAGTATAATTAAAGTTAGAATAAAGTTTAGGTATGCACACATATGTTTGATGAAATGTCTAAAAGAAGCATGAGTAGGTAGAGAACTTACTTTATGCAACATAGCATATTTGCATGTCATGAATGCATATAAGAAAGATTTTAGGCATGAGCCATCATATGATATGTTTGATTAGTAATCACATGAGAAAGAAATTGAGAAATGAGAAAGAAACACTCTATGAATAGAGATAAAGAAAGAACCAATTCTCTTAGAATAAGAGAAGAAAGAAACTAGCAACGAGGATAAATGATTATTAAGTGCTACAGAAAAGAAAGAAAATAGGTTGTGCGATGGGGAACTGGGTATAGAGTTACCCTCATGTAAACCTATGAGAAAGAGCGGTCTGCATGAGAGAGCGGAATGCATGAACCGTTATGAAAGAGGGTCTCCGCCATGAGAGAACGGAAGCATGGAACCGTTATGAGAAAAAGAGGTCTCTGCCATGAGAGAGGAAATGCATGTAAACCGCTATGAGAGAGAGCGGTCTCCGCCATGAGAAAGCGAATGAGATTGAGAGAAAAAGAAAAGAAAGAAAGAAAATGAGATTTGAATTAGAAAAATGATAAGAGTACGAAGAGATTGATGAGTAATGCACGGAATGATAGAGTAAGACATTTTTACTTACTGGGCATCTTTGTGCTCACTCCGTGTTTTCTTTGTTGTACACACATAGGTGAGGACCTGGTCGGAGGGAGTCGGCAAGGGGGAGACTGCTGCACTGTCCATGTTTTCTTTTTGAGAGTCTTTTGTACAAATGATGTTGTACTTTATAAAGAATGTAGTTATTAAGTAAAGAAAAATTTTGGGCCCAACTGTTTTGATAATTATGCTGTCTTTTTATTAATCTATTATGAATATGGTAGAAGAAAGTAGTGTTACAACACATGAGGTTTTGATATGTGAATTCAGGCATGAGAAGTAATTTTATTTGTGAGAAGAATTATATGTGATGAGAAGTAATAATTATATGTGAGGAAGTGACTATTGTATGTGATGAGAAGTAGGACTATTGGTATGGTGATGAGAGTGGATGTATTTGCGTGTTGGGGGGAGCGTTTTTGATGGGTGGTGGATTTGGATGAAAAATGAAAGAATGGATGGGAAGGTGAGGACTGAAATTCAGCTAGGTGATTGTTGGCTTTAGGGAGTTGTTTGCTCCAATTTTGGTGACTGAGAGATATGTGGAAGGTTGAACCAATTTAGGGTTTGTATGTGCGTGTAAGGTGTTTGATGAAATGTCAAAGAAAGTGCATATACATGAGTATGTTGATTATTACTTTGTTATGGAAATGTTGTTAGTAGAGAATACTAGTTCCATAATGATATCTTATATGCCATAATGCTTCTTACATTCTTACATTTGCATTTAGAAAGAATAATAAAGAATGAGCATATTAAGCACAATACATGTTGAGAACATTAAAAGAATAAAGAGAAAGAAAGAAAATCAATTAAATCGTAGAAGTATTGTTTTAAGAAAAATTTATTAAGAACAATTCAAATCAAAATTTACTTAAAGAAAATAAAAAGAGAAGAGAAGAGAAAGTTGTTGGATGGGGAGCTGTGGTGACAGAAAGAATAACCTGCATGTACGCGGCCTTTA